TTATTATATTATTAATTATTGATATTATAATTAACTCTGTTCAACATTTTATGTATATTTTCATTATAAAGAATCAGGTCATATTGCAGCTCTGTGATGTGTTCTATAGTTTCTTTGATATTTTTTCACCAATATTCTTTTGGATCTATCCTTCTGGAAATCATATCAGAGTCAGTCAGGTGTTGGCAACACTTCTCAATCTAGCCTACATGTCTCCATTTAAGAGCTCTATATCTCTTTATAACCTTTTTACTATGTGTATTATTTGAAGCCAAATTCTGAAAAATCCCTCAGTTGAACACTCTAACATAGTAGTTGAACCTTTAGGTGTATTCATTCAAATATTCATCCAGGAAGAATACTTCAATTAGAAACTAGAAAGTAAAATGTCTCAAATGAGCTATTTTCATGTCCAGGCCCTCCAGAATGGCAAACTTATTTATTTTTTAAATTAAATTTATTGAGATAAAATTGGTTAATCACATTGTATAAATTTCAGGTGTACAACTTTATAACATCTGTATACTCTATTGTGTGTTCACCACCCAAACCCTAGTCTCCTTCCATCACCATTTATTTGACCCCCTTTACCCTTTTCATCTTCCCCCACCCACCATCTCCTCTGATAGCCATCATTCTAGTGTCTCTATTTATGAGTTTATATTTTAGTTTATTTGTTTTGTTTGTCCATTTGTTGCTTTTTGTTTTATATCCCACAGAGTAAAGTCATATGTTTCTTGAGCTATTCCTCTGTTTTATTTTGCTTAACATAATACTCTCAAGACCCATCCACATTACGACAAATGGCAGTATTTCATCTATTCAGTGCTCCGTAGTATCCACTGTGTATATGTACCGTATCTTGTTTATACAGTCATCTGTCAAAAGACATCTTATCTACATTGTCTCCATGTCTTGGCTATTATGAATAATGCTGCAATGAACACAGGGGTACATACAAGTCTGACAATTATGTTCACAAACCTGTTGCAATGATGTTGCTAACCTTTTTTGATATCAGAGGGATTATTCATTATGAATTTGTACCAACTGAACAAACAGCTAACCAAGTTTACTCTTTGGAAGTGCTGAAAAAGCTGCATGAAAAAATTAGACGACCTAAGCTTTTTGCCAACAATTCATGGCTCACAGGGTACTGTCTGTGAGAGAGTTTTTAGCCAGTAAACAAATAACTGCATGGGAATACCCTCCCTACTCACCTGATCTGGCCCCCAATGACTTCTTTCTTTACCCAAAGATAAAGGAAATATTGAAAGGAAGACATTTTGATGCCATTCAGGACATCAAGGGTAATACGATGACAGCTCTGATGGCCATTACAGAAAAACAGTTCCCAAATTGCTTTGAAGAGTGGGCTAGGCACTGGCATCAGTGCATAGCTTCCCAAGGGGAGTACTTGGCAGGTGACTGTAGTAATATTCAGCAATGAAGTATGTAGCACTTTTTCTAGAATGAGCTCACAAACTTAATTGTCAGATCTCATATATTTTTACGAATAGTTGTTCTCAAATTTTTCAGGTAGATATCCCAAAGAGGGGTTGCTACATCATATGCTAATTTTCCACAGTCTCTGCACAAATTTACATTCCCACTATCAGCATGTAAGTGTTCCCTTTTCTCCATATCTTCTCCAACACGTGTTATTTCTTTATTGGTAATGGCCATTCTAACAAGTATGAGGTAGTATCTCATTGTGGTTGTGACTTGGATTTCATATATAACTAGTGATGTTGAGGCTATTTTAATACATCTGTTGGCCATACTTATGTCCTTCTTGAAAGGTGTCTATTCAGGTCCTATGTCCATTTTTAAGTGGATTGTTTGGATTTTGTTGTTGTTGTTGAGTTGTATGAGTTTTTTAAATATATTTTCCACACTAGCTGCTTATCAGAAGTATCATTTGCAAATATCTTTTCCTATTTGGTTTCTTGCTTTTTTGTTTTGTTGATGGTTTCTTTTGCTGTGCAGAAGTTTTTTTTTAGCTTGATGGAGTCCCATTCATTTATTTTTTTTTTCTTACTTCCCTTGCCTTTGAGGTCAAGTTAACAAAAATCCCCCTGAGTCAAAGGTCCATAAGGTTAGTACCTATGTTTTCTTCTATGTATTTTATTGTTTCAGGTCTTATATTTAAGTCTTCAATCCATTTTGAGTTAATTTTTGTGTATAGTGTCAGATAGCAATCCAGTTTCATTCTTTTGTATGTGGCTTTTCAGTGTTCCTAACAACATTTATTAAATAGACATTCCTTTCTCCACTGTATGTTTTTTACTCCTTTGCCTTAATCAATCAATATGATATACCACATTAATAGAAAAGATAGAAATCATAAGATCATATCAATAGATACAGAAAAAAGTATATGACAAGATCAACTTCCATTTATGATCAAAATACTCACTAAAATGGTATAGAGTGAAAGTACCTCAACATAGTGAAGGCCAAATATGACAAGCCCTCAGTTAATATCATATTCAGTGGTGGAAAATTGAAAGCTTTTCTTCTCTAAGATCAGAAACAAGACAAGGATGCCCTCTCTTACCATTGTTATTCAACATAGTACTGAAGTCGAAGCCAGGACAATCAGGCAAGAAAAAAAATAAATAAAAGGCATCTAAATCAAGAATAAAGAAATAAAACTGTCACTATTTGCACATGACATGGCACTACATAGGTAAAATCCTACAGTCTCCACCAAAAGTTTAGAAACAATCAACAAATACAGTAAAGCTGCAGAAGGCAAATTTATTTTTTACACTCACACATTTCACCACTAAAAATGTCTTCTTAGAATAATGTTTTTTCAAAATATGATTGACACCTTGGCAGCATTTATAAAATAAAATTTGAGGTAGCTTTTATAAAGATAGTTCCCATGCAATAAGCTAGCACCCCCATGACATCTCTGTGAGTGGAACTGAAATCCACATTTTGAAGATGTCCTCGGGTGGGAACAATGTAAAATAATGACTGAGGACAAACATTTAGAAATATTAATTCATATTTTGAACTCTAATTGGCTTAAAACGAAGTCTAGTTCAATCAGGCAGAGGAGTGAGGACATTATGATACTTAACGCCTCCATTACTTTACTGTAATTTTACTTTTGATTGAATAGATCCCTGCCTGCTTTTAATCTATCTCCATAACTAGGCAATCAAATAGACAAAAACTATATGATAGACCAGGAGGAAAAAAACATTGTCTAAATCTTTCCAGCATCCCAAAGTATGGGCAAGTGATATACCTCCAGGATCAAGTCTTTTCAGCAGGCAACAGTAAAGTTCAGAAGAACTAAGGGACATTTGTGGCTTCTCCTCCTTCCTATCACCACCCATGTCTCTACTTTTTCCCCAACACCTGCTCTGAGGCACACAAAGCTATAAAGAATGGCTTGTGGCCTTTGAAAACTATATGAATAAGTACCTGATATATAGCTCTTCAATATACACACCATTTCATATGTGTTTTTCTTAGAGAATAAGTCAGTGAAAAAAGAAACTCGGCTTTAAACAGGGATGTAATACTGTATTACTAGGTTTTTGCTGGAATTGACAGAGTTGACTTTTTATGTGACTGGAAAGGACTTCTTACCAGAACTCTAACTGGGCTGGGAAGGAGGGACTCTGGTGCATTCCTTAACTGTAAAGGTAACTTCCTCATGAGGAAAACACTAGTGTCCTCTGGAACCACCTGCACCTAGTAAAGGCCTGTGTATTCATCATCAGCAGAGCTCACCTTAGTAGACTCCATGACTATGAAGGACTCTGTCTTTAGCTTACACTAAATAAGTGAATGGATTTCCAATGTTATACTTCTCTAATAAGTATAAAATCTTACTTGTTACATTTTGCTTGATTTAAAGTGGCATCCATTTGGGTACAAGCTGATGCTCCCAAATCACTAGTGGATGACCTTGTTTCTTGGGAACACATCAAAGGTGTCCCAGCTCCCTTCAGAGAAGGTTTTAAGAATGTCTTCTGGGCCGGCCGAGTGGCGCGTTGGTGAAGAGCTGGCTTGGGACGCCAGGGGACCCCGGTTC